ATCTTAACATATACTATTACTGACATGCAGTCCCCGTCTTGTTCAAAGGCCATTACCCAATGTTGGTCCCAGCTATCTAGGGTCTTGAGAGGGATGGACTGGATACAGTCCTAACCTCTGGCATATTTTCACTCAAAGTGGATACTCTTAGACTTGAACCAGTGTTCTCATGCTTGACAGCCCAAGAATTTACTGTTATGTAGTAGAGAAGTATCTAATAAAAATTGCTTAGATATCAATCACATAAAAATATAGATATTAAATACATACATGGCAATAGCATAATAAAACATAGATATTAAGCACCTCTAGCAATTCCTTATCACCAGTTCTTGTATTCTCCTCTTTTTTCTTAATGTAGGAAAACAGGATGCAAGGTGGAAGATCCAAGCAAAAAAGGAAGAAAAAACATCAAAGTGACAAGTATGAAAAGATACCCTACTATTCAATCTCCAATTCATTTTCCACCCAAGAAAGCAATATATTGCCAGTAAACTGAACTACTGAAACAACCTCAGATACAAGTAGTTAACAGCCACACAGCTTGTCCACAATACTTCACTTGAAAATAACAAAGGATGAAAGGATTATTAAGAGCATAGGTCACCTATTCTAATATCAAAAACCAAGACCTTAACTTATAAAAACAGAATCTACCAAGAAAGAATCACTAAATGGTGGATTCTCTAACAAGCACAAGCAGACAGCTTAACTACAACTTAAGTAATGTAATAAAAGGTATGGATATTTACAGACTTACTTGACAATGAAACTCATCCTGCGGCTTCACTGATGGAAAGGTATTGCCAACGACCCAGAGTCCTTCTCAATGCAATCAATGGAATGAACTCTTTCCTTGCTGCTCTTCATCTACACAGGATAGACTTGGAAAGTATCCTACTTGTCCTAATAAATTTTCTTTACACCCCCAAGGTCCACACACTAATCCCACAAAGAACATAATCAGAATTTAAGATGGGAAAAAGCCTGCTAAATATCCAAAGCTACAGGCAGCAGCCAAACTGGTTTACTCATCAAACCACTAATCCTCTTTGTAATATATGGACAAAACTAATGAACCTAAACAGCAGAATGCTGCCTTTAAAACAGAAAATAATGGTTAACAACTGCCACAAGTTATTCTAATCAGTAAGCTAGAGTATACCAAAAAAATCAGGAGACTTGGAACTGAAACTTTAAACCTAATTATCATTATTGAAGGAGTAAAAGGAAACATATACTGATCCTAAGAAGGCAACAGTATTGTTGGCTTCACAGCTATGATGTGTGGTTGCAAGTCATTAGAGAAACCACATTTATCATTAGGGTGAAAGAAGAGAACTGTTTAAAACAGAAAGAAAGAAATGACTTTGGTGGGGCCGGGGGTACCTGGTCAAAGAAAGGGGGCAGAGACATTTCTTAGTGCTTTCTAGAATCTAGACTGACAAATGTCAGAACTCAGGTACAAGTCATTAGAAAGCAATTATGAGCAAAAATGCCAGAGGTTGACTTAGGACCATAACTAATCCACCCCTCCCAAGAACCTAAATTGCTGAAGTCAGCATCAAGTAAATGACCTTTTTCCAAAGGAAGGGGGCAGTAAAGGCGACACTGCTACAGTTGTTGCACAATACAATTCGAATTCGAATTTGAGATTCGACTTAAACGAATCAAATTCGAATGATTCAGATGGAATAAACAGTCGAATTCAAATATAATTTTTGTACCGATTATTTAATCGGATCAAATTCGAATACATATTGATCCGATTCGATAATAGATAATTATAATATATATAAATATATTATATTCTAATTCGACTAACTTGTGGTACTACACATGACCCAAAGCGTCACTTGTATCTACTTACTACGAAAGACAAACAAAAGTTATTCCTGATTTACAACCACTTTAATTGACGAGCCTTTCAACTTTTCATTTACCAAGATACCAAAAGCCCTCTTTCTATATCTTTCTGTATTTTAGTTTCTTTAATTTCTTTAACACCTTTCGTTCTAACACCCAGGATGAAAAGTGCGGCTCCTTCTCCCATATTTTAGTTTCTTCAACAACACCTTTTGTTTTGGCACTCAGGATGAAAAGTGTAGAGAACCAGCTTCTATCAAAGACAACAGGACTTCTGAAGATTAAACTTCAACTTCTGTCAATTCAATTGGGGCCATTATCCAAGATTTCCTGCTCTTCCTTTTGTTCTCTCTCCCGTTTCTTCTTTCTTCTGGATTATGAGTTTTTTTATCTATTTTCTTTCTTGTTTTAGATTTTTTTAGGCTTTTTTTTGCACTGTTAACAAGTGATGATTTTATTTTTTGAGTTTTTCTGTGTTGTTCACATGCGATGGTTGTTTCTCCTCTTTATTTTGGTTTTTAGATTTACAGCTAAGTATCTATCTATCTATCTATCTAAGTATTAAAGTACTTAATTATAATTCCTGTAAAATTTAAACGAATAATCAAATAAGAATTAACAGGTATAGAATTATTCTACTTTCATCAATAATATGAATAAAAATATTATCAAAATTTCCAATTCATAGAGTTATACTTGTATTTAATTTTAGACTCTTGACTTCACAATTCACATACTCTTTTCACCACCAAAACTCTAGGAAGTTGATAGTTTCATATTCTTTTTTATGCAATTTTTTTATTTGCCTAGAAAGTGAATCAGAAAAGATTATGATATAACATTTTCTTTACTATTGTACAATGTTGAGTTGATGGTTAAAGAAAATGTACCCTTGTTCAACAAACTATAGTAATCCTTTACTTACACATTTGCACATATACCATGTTAATGTTTAGTATAGTGAGTGTCATTCTTTTTCTCTTGTCACTACCTAAACCCTAGATAGTTGGGACCAATATTGGGTAATAGCCTTTTTTTTACTCCAGAATCTGCTTGTGTCAATACATATCTCCACACACCAATTCTTTCGAATTTGAGAATGGTTCCACTAAACCAGTAGTATGTTAAAGTTAACTACAATCACTTTACTGATTCGAAGCACCTGGCATGTTAAGCATGAGTTTGCTGACTGGAAGAATAGACCAAGCAGGTAATTTTTTCTTCTTTTTTATCAATAGGTAGGTAAAAGTTTTAACATGTTGCAGCAGGAAAGAAGTAGGTAAATACCAGCTCCAAAGGTGTAGAGTGAGCCCAAGGTGGTTGAAGCTGATGTACAAGATAGAAATGACCTAATGCATCTTGACCACCTCTAATCCCAATGAAAGACTAACCTGTACAGTCAAATAGAGTGCCACTATCCATGACAAAATGTATGTATGGTTACCACAATTCCAAACAACTCATCAATCTTACTGGAAACTCCACAACCTCAACATTACATAAACACCAAGATTATGAAAGTTAAGGGGAGGATAGAGAAAAAAATTAAGACCAGAAGTTGAGTATTGAAGAAGTGACTAGGAAAACTGTGAAACATTTCTAGAAATGGAACACATGATCTTGACAGTCACCCTGTAGTATTTCCAATAAAATACTACAATTTCCAATTACTGTACTGGCACCATCTGTGTCATTCACTCCCTGGGAACAATGAGACACTCCCACTAAATGCTCCTAATTTTAATGCAACCCACAAGATCTTCAATTACCCAAAGGACAAAATAAACTTCCTAGGCCTTTGGGAAAAGCTTTTTGATCTTTTTGGGTGCAGGTGGACAGAACCGGTGCAGATTTGCAATCTTTTTGATCCTATAACTTTCAGGTGGCCAAAGAGAAGACGAAGAGTTTTGTGGAGGTGTGTGAGAGCTGCTTTGGTGTGGACTGTGTGGGAGGAACGAAATGCTAGAATCTTTAATGACAAGGAGAGGGATCAAACTTGTGTGTTTCAAAGCATCTTATGTAGGACCATAAGTTGGGTAAAATCCTTGGATCTGTTCTCCTCCTACACTTTGAAATTGGGAACAACTGGCCAAAAGTTCTGCAGTCAGAAGCAAGCCGGTGGTGGATTAGAAGTCTCCGGATGCAGGCGTCATTAAACTAAATTTTGATGGCAATAGTTTGGGCAACCTGGGGCCTTCTGGAATAGGGGGAGTCTTTAGAAACGAAGAAGGTCAGATTGTAGCTCTATTTTCTGGTCCTATAGGGTGGGGAGACTCAGTAAATGCAGAAGCCCAAGCTGTGTTACAAGGAGCAGAATATGCAAGAGAGTTGGCAGTGGAGCATTTAATGATTGAAGGTGATTCCAAATTGGTT